TCTCACAAGGTACATTTAAAAAGAATGGAGGAAGTTGCTTTTTGTGTTTGTTTTATTAATCTTGCAGCAGAATTTTATTGAAGTCCCAGGTAAGGGAGTTTGCTATAGGGCAGTAAGATATTAGGATTTTTCTACAGTGAATTAACTAAGATCTCAGCTGTCTTCATTGTGATCCTCAGGCTGCATGTCACCTGTTTTAACTTTGACAAATGAAAAGGGAAAAGAGGAGATGATGTAGGAAAAAAGGGTAAAAGAAGCCATAGTTAATTGCAAAAGACTGACCAATGCTTACATACATAATTGATATAAGTCCAGTTACCTGTAAGATTCTTAGATTTAACCACTATGATGCATATTCAGTCGATACATGAAAATAAACTTTGATAAACAATATTCTCTAACATGGTGCCATACAAGTGCTGAGGTGTGGGCCTGCATTTCCTCTGTGCAAAGCTGGTGTACTTGCTGGTCTAGTGTCTCTGGAAAGCGGATGCTCCACCACCTATTGTAAAGCAAAATCTGGGAATCAACTCTACAGTTAATTGATTTTTTAACAGAACCTTCTCCAACTTTTGCAACATCTGTGTTTAATAACAGCCCTTTCACTTGTTTTACTCATAATTTTTCTGCTGAAAATCAAGTTCTGAATTTTCCTTGATTGGGACCCAGAAGCAGTATATTTACATCATCTCTTCCTCTGCACGTTAGACCCTGTTACAAAGAATTGGCACTCCCCAGAAATTCTGCAGGGACCAGTTTCCAGCCAGAATAAGAATGTGCATGCGCTCAGCAAAGCCAGCTCACACATACCAGTTTTAGCCCGCTGCTCAGAGCGCCTCAGACAACTGCTGCACCGCAGAACCCATCAAACGTGTGCTCGTGTGGACAGATGGAAAACCCATTAGGAAGTACAGCCAACTCCGTGTTCCCACATTCCCGGGAGAGAAACCACAGTCGGTGCAGAAACTTGTGTAAAAGGACTAGGGTCAGTGCCTTTAAATCAACTGAATGTCTAACCTCTTCCAAGATATTACACAAGCAAAGCTCATATGGTTAGCTAAAGAGTTTGCCCTACAGAAAAGTACATGGGTTAGGGCTAGACCAAAGACCTAAGCTCACCATGTACTTTTTCTAAAGGTCTATCTAATTTTTTTTTTTGTCTGGAAAATTGTTATACAAACTACTTCTAAGAATCCAACAAACCGCTACTATAAAGCAACTTATACATGAAGTACAGTTATACTTCAATAAAGTGGGAGAAAAGTACAAATACAAGAATTAAAAGCCACTTCACATGGGATTACTGGTTAGCCATAATTTTTCTAAGTTAACTCAGCACATCTCATTTTGGGGAGTTAAGGGCCAGCAAAATACATATAACTTCTTAACTTTTTTTCTAGGATCACTGATGACAGGATTGAGAGCACCTTGATGGAGAGAAGTGCTTTCTGCTCCATCTCCCATCATCCTGAGTCCACACGGGCCCTCCCTCCATGGCCTGGTGAACCGCTGTCCACAAACTCCGAGAGGAGGGATGACCAGGACGCATCTGGAGAAGCAGAGTGGCCTCCACTGCTGATTTTTCTTTTGTTTTGTATTTAGGATCACTTTAGCCACTATCTTCTCACTGAGGCTTGGAACCTATTTGGTTTTCCACAAATTAAGATCACTTAGTGATTCGCAAATTCACTTTGAGGATGAACTAAATTTCTAACTTACATATTTAACATAAAATTTGAGTCCTAATTGCCCATACAGGGATGTGTGCAAGCAGTAAGCTCACCATATACTCACCTAGACTGAGACTTGGCTTTGGCGAGCATGTCAGCTCTTCAGACAAAGCCTGCACAGGCTTCCATCACAGGACTCAAGAGGGCTCAGACCTCGGGGCCTAAGCAGTCTGCCCCTTTATTCTGTGATTTTTTTTCTGAAAATTTCAAACTCAAGTGTGTTTGCCTGTGGGCAGAGAGCTTATGACAGTTATTTTAGGAATATGAACAGCAGTAGAAAAAAAGATCCATGTCTGGAAGTGGTAAGAGAAATGAAGTTGGTGAATGTAAATGCATCAGAAAAAAATTTGGCTGACTGGGGACCATTTTGCAGGTATATGAGGAAGGAATCTATAGGCTAAAGCATATGCTGGTAATTTCAAAAAGGCATGTCACACCCCTTAGGAGTTAGTTGAATGATTTCAAGAGTTGCCTACCTTTAAAAAGGTCATATGCTGGCTGATGTCTCCTGTGCTGGGTGGCTGTACTGTTGGGAAGGTCACGCCACAGTAGTACCACCCAAAGGGTGAGGTCATCACCCCCAGGAGTGCTGGGGGACTTGTCTCAGGGGCTGCAGCAGGGAAGGCCACGCTGGCAGCTGGAGTTCAGATTTTTTATCCAATAATGACATGATTTGATCCCGCAGTGATTCAAACTTTCAAACTCCTCGATAAAAGATAGGCCTACTAACCCCCCAAAGGGCTAACAGCCTCTTCTTCTCTCACAGAACTGCTAAAGAATGTGTCATTTTACAAAGTAAGTTTTGAATTTTGTTTTCTACTATCCCAGTTCCTTTATTCTTTACAGAATATACGGTGAATGCACTTCATCACCTGTATTTTTCTTCTCATATTCGGATATATATGAATGAAAATCTCAATGCCTTAAAAAAAACTAACAAATATAATGTTGTTTTTGCCATCCTCGAATAAGGGATAAACCACTCTACTTATATTATAGGGATGCTACATTTGCGTCTGCATATGTACTGATCTCCATTCTTCTTAGCATCATATCTCTTAACTACTCCCTCAACCTAAAACTTCGTTAGCATGGAGCAGGTTTGCTGATCATTTCCCAAACGCTGTGCTCACTCTCCCATCCGTGTTTATCCTTTCCTTTTTCGTGTGTGTCCCCATCTCTGCCTCCACATGGTTCCACTCTTTCTTCAAAGTCTCGCTTCCCCTTGGGCCTTCTTGACGGCCCCCAACTGCCTTTGACACACAGGTCCATACTATGCATTGGGCACCTAGCACATGCTCTCTGGGATTACTTGCTCTTATGTATCAAGTTGAAACAGATCAAATTGACAACATTCAACTATTTCTGACCTGCATAACAGCAATGGCATATAGTTCAACCTAATATATATGTCTCCTCACCCAAATACAAATTCTCTTTGCATTCGTGGTATCTACAACAGTCTCTTATACAGTGTAGGTTTTTGCTATTAAAAATAAATAGATCTTAACTCTTCTTTTTTTTTTGGCAAAATAGTAGACAAGCTTCCATTTTCATCTAACCCATTAATGTAGTACCGTGGATGATTTGGGATGTTTATGATCCTTTCTGCCAAAATTCCCTACTATAGCCTAAAATATAAATATAAAACTTTATGACACTAGAAGTTATGGCTAGAGGCATTGCTTTACAAATACTATAGAACTTCAATAGATTCTATACTTCAAAAAGATCATTTATAGAGTTTTCGTCAGTAAACTAGTCACTAGAATATATTTTATATTTATTAAATAGTTACACAACCCAGTTAGAAAAGAACATTAGAATAATGCACTTTGCCTAATTACATTACATAGATTCTTCTGCCCTTCTCTCTTACTACAGCCTTAATTCTATATATAATTACATTAATTATCATGATAAACTGAATTTGAATAAGGAAAAATCGAGTGAAAAAGTATACATATTTTTTAAAGCTAAGAAACTTATAAGGTATCTGATATCAAGTGCATAGCTTTTAGAAATAAAAATATTCAAAATAGCATGATGATTACTGAACTGAATTCACTATTCTAAGGACAGAATTACACCAGTGGAGAAATAGAGAATCACGCAGCCTATTCCTTTGAGTACATCCATATTGGTAGGCTCAGAATTACATAAGGAAACAAATCAGTATTTCATCCCCTCCTTGCTCCAGTGGATGGATGCATGACGTCTAGATTTCTTTTTCAATGATTCCATTTCTTAGAGTCACACTTTCCTCAGCTGATGAGTTGTCTTTAGAACTTAACCTTAAATGCATTTATTCTGTCTTATACTGAGCCTTTCACCTGTACAATAACCAGAACATATAAAAGACTTCATGAAGCTAGGTAAACATCTATTTGCAGGGTAGAGGGGGAGAATGAGTTTCATATGATTGATTCAGGTTTGCCAATTGTCATTTATGAGTCATTAAAAATAAAAATAAATTTATTTAAAAATAAAATTTTTTAAATCTTGAGATAAACAAAGTTTTGCAGTAGTCTTGATGAATATGGTCCATCTTAATGTCACAAAAATGGGAAGGGGTCAAATATCTTTCACTGATGGTAGGAAGCCCACTTTCAACCCCTAATCTCTTTCACTGTCAAGACAGCCTTGGAGGACATTTTAAAAAGTGAGACTTTCTCTTCAAAGACCTTCTTCCTCTATGGTCTCCGAAACGCAGTCAGCTTCAGCTATCTTAATCTTGCTTTTTCTTGATAGAAAGCTAGAATAGTGTTTCTGTTGTGAAGTAAACAGAGGTCAGAAATGTATATGGGAGGAAATAATTTCCATAACAACAATAACAAAAAAGTCAAGGATGTTAACATTAAAAAGGCAACAGAAAGTTACATTTGTTTCAGCAACAGTTATTTTAAATGGCTATACCCTGTAGAAGCTGTATTTGGGTAGGTGGACCTCTGCTAGGGCTGAGAGCGCCCCCTGCTGGCACGCCGGGGTAGCCCTGTCCAGAGCACCTTTCCAGCCTGTGGATGTCTCCAGGAAACAAACTTTTTCTCTCTTGTTTTTTCCTGCCTCCTAGAGCCGTGTGACTTTCAATTTTTAACTTTACCCCAAATCTTTAGTGCACATCTCACACAAATACACATTTTTAAAAAGTATAATAGTTATTTTAAAACATTTTAAGAGGTTATGGTTGCTACAAACCTTCAATGAGTGAGTAGTCAGCTTTCAGTATTTATGAAATCTCAAAGACGGGGCCATGGAGAGTATGCTTTGGCCTTGGTGAAATAAATGTGGGGCACCTCAATGGGCAGATAGGCTGAAATTTTTTTATTCTATGAGAGATTTGTCTTGATAGAGAGACCCCATAGCAGAGTGGTTAAAGGAACAAAAAAACTTTATTTGTTAAACAGCAAATATAAATGGCTTGAGTTTGGACACTGGCTCTGCCATTTACTAGCTGTGTGACTTTGAGCAAGTTACTTAATCTTTCTGTGTGTTTTCCGGTCCTTGGCTATAAACCAAGGATAATAATACCTGGATTGTTATGAGGACTAAACAAATTATGTATGGAAAGTAATTATAACAGTGCCTGCTCAGGATAAGCTTTATAAAAAGGTTTGCTTTTTATAAGGTATATAAATGTTGGATCTCTGTGTTGCATATCTGAAACTAATGTACTATTGTATGCCAACTATACTTTAATAAAAGATTAAAAAATAAATAAATGAATAAATAAATGCATGAATAAATAGATAGATAGATAGATAGATAGATAGATAGATAGATAGATAGATAAAATGAAGGAAAAGAAAAGAAAGAAAGATTTGCTAAAATAAGTTGGAATTCAATATGGTGGGATAGCCCTGCTTAGAGCATGAAAGAAATTTTCCTTTTTGGCACTGCTGCTCATCTGAGAGGATGAACAAATTAGCATTAATGTTGATTGCAGTGGTGTTGTGTGTTGTGTTGCCTGTTGTTCTAAGACAGTGGCTCTCACATTTGAACATGCATCAGACTCAGCTGGAGGGTTTGCTAAACACAGATTGCTGGCCATCACCCCCAGAGTTTCTGATCCCAGTAGGTTTCAGGCCTGAGAATTTGAATTTCTAGTAAGTTCCCAAGCGATGCTGATGCTGCTGGTCTAGGGACCACACTTTGAGAACCACTGCTCTAGAATAATGATTCCAGTGCTGGCTGTATATTAGACCACTTGGGAGCTTTTAAAAATTCTGTGTCCAGGCCCCAGCCATCATTAGTTTTCAGATATCTCTAGGTGATTCCTGTGTGCAATCAAAGTTGAGAACCACAGCTCTACAATGTCACTCTGCTGCTGAAATGGATGTATTTAAATGATGGAGTGATGACCTACATTTTACAGATACAGAAATTGAGGCTTGGTGCAGTGTTTCCCATTGAGGTGCTTGTTATGCATTCTGATTCAGGGCCCCTATCCAGAATCTATTGCAACAATCTTTTGGGGTGAGGCCCAGGAGTTGCATTTTACTAAGTACCTCAGGAATCCCTTATACACATTTAGTCTTTTGCCTAAAGACACATAGCCATAAGTGGTATTCTCATCTTCTATCCCTGATCTAAGCAGTCAGAAACGTTATTATGAAAGAGAAAAACTTTGCATTTAGTCTGTTTTAAATTTTTTTCTGAGCTTATTCACTCAAGAAAGAACCTTATATACTTACATATTTATAAATACTATCGCTATATACTAAGTATTTTTATATATATAGCAGACCCTGTAACAAGAGCTAGATCAATAATAAATTCCATTCAAATGCTACTTTGAGGCCACCTTTATTTCATTCACCTACACTAGGATTTCAACCTAGAAAGGAAGAGTTAGCAAAAGCAGTTAAGGTCACTGCTCTGAAGTCAGATTGCTTGCTTCCTTTCCCTATTGATTACTGTGCAACTGGGGGCAAGTCACTTAACCTTTCTGTGCCCCAGTTTCCTCAACTGATTTATAGGGCAATGATGAAGATGATTGTGTTGATCCACATAAAAGTGGTTAGAACAGTGCCTGGAAATAACAAGAGACTATTAATGCTTTATATTATTATTTTTATTATTATTGTTATCTGCACAGGAGACATAAATGCTCAAAAAAGTGTTTTACAAACTTAAAAGTTGTTTTATACAGAGTATACTGTAGAAAATATAAACTAGAAAGAGAATTTTCCAAAAACAGCATAGGGTGTAGAAGATAATCACTAAAGAATTTTGTGTGTTTCTTAAAATTTTTTTATGTAAAAACTCAGAAAATCATTTCTCCCTACCTTATTGGGGGCTACAATAAACATACTGTACTTCTCTGATGGGCCTCCAATTGGCCTAACCTACATGGAAGAGTTTCTGAAAAAGCGAAGTCTGGCTTATTCTTAAAAGTAGAATGACAGAGGGGAAAAGGGTATATTTATCAAAATTATAGTTTACCAATTACATAATTTTACTCACCGACCAGCTTTGTTCAATGTGGTATTTTTTACTTTTGCCTTGTTCTGGAACTTCAATCTGCTAAATAGATTAGTAAAATGTCATTCAGTACAGCTCTGAGAAGCAAGCTCACAAATTACCTATTTAACCAGCACATTTCTCCTTCCACAATAATCCTCTTAATGGCCCAAAGCTGGCAGTCGGCAGGCACACCTGCTTGTCATCTGCATATTCCCCCTCCATTTGCAAGTGTCTAAATGGTATAGTAATTGAACCGCCAAAAGTTAAGTGAAGCTTAACGTTTGACCTTGGTAGTTGCCAGCGGATATTATGATTTAACACGTATTCTAAAAGGACTTCACACAAAATGAAATGAACTTCTAAAACCTGAAATAATCCACAGAACTCCAATCCATACACTGAATCAAAGCCAAATGGGGCTTTGATTAATCAAAAGGCACCATTAATCAAGGGAAGAATCAAACTGAAGTTCGAGACACTTGAATCTACTTCATGTACATAAGGTGAACTTAATATAACAGTCAGGGTCCCAGCAGAAAACAGATGGTGCTCTCCTGGGGTGATTGAAGAGGGTTTTAAAAAAGGAACTATTTAATGGAGGTGTGGACAGGATTAAAGGGAATTAAAGAAAGGATGTTGGAGCCCCCAGGGGCTAGCAATAAGGGGCTGTGGTGTGGGGGATAATTCTTACCACCTCTGGACCTGGGAGGGCAAGGAGAGCAGCTGGTACAGAAAAAGAAGTAGCTATTAGCTGCAAGAAGGAGAAGCCACCTACAGGAGCATAGCCCTCGATAGCACTGTACCAACCCAGAAGCAGAATGGGAGAAATAAATACCCAATTTCACTTTTCTCCCACCCTCCAATCTTGCTAGGTTCTCCCTGCCCCCCACCCAACTCTCGCTCACACCCCCGTGCCCCCCCCCCACTCCCCGCTCCACCGCCACTGTGGTGAGCTTGGTTAAAGGGTGGAGGTCAGAGGTAAAGACACAGCATACAAAGTTCAGTCTCCAGGGCACAGAGAGGATGGAAGAGAGTGGAGAGTGAATGTGGAGAGGCAAAGAGAGTCTGTCACAGCCAGAAAACGTGACCAAGCCAGGGTTTGGGGGAAAGAATTCTTAAACTCTTCTTATAGGAAGAGAACTACTATTAAACAATTATGCATTATGAGCATGTCTCAACCCATCGCTCTAACTGTAAATGTCTCTTTACTAATTGCCTTTCTCCTCCAACAAATAGGCTCCTTAACGCTTGAGCCTCAGTTTCTAGCCATTGCATGGTAAATACAGGCATTCAAAAATAATAGAATGAGGAGTGAATTAAGATGTTTGTTACTGCTTATTATTCATGAGAATATGGAGCGGGACTTTTCCAAATAAGTGGGATAAATAACATGACACTGCAAAAGAGCATTATCTTTTAACTATGGTTTAACTTAATTCTGTTGTAAAATATATTACTTTGAAGTATGCAAAGGACGTCCTTTAGGTTAGTATTCTTGAGAGAAAACTTCCTACATTTGGGGCTTATCTCTCTAATTTAAAAAAATCAGTTATAAGTCACTAATTTATAGTGACTTATCTCACTAATTTAAAAAAATCAGTTATAATAAATTAATGCTCTGATGTTTTATGTGTTTTGCTATTGTTGTTATTATTATTTTACAATATTACAAGTATAGTTTGAAGTAGTCTCATGCAATGAAATAGAGTTGGGGAAAAGTCGGTATTTTTCTCTCTCCTATTTTCTTTCCCCTCTTTCTTTATACCAAAATAAACAAAATAGAACCGACTACAAATGTTAAGCAATTTCTGATATAATCTGTTTCCTTGACTTATTTCTATAAGGCTTCACATATTTTATATACTAGGGGGAATCAAGTTGGGGGAAAAAGCTAATCCTTTTCATAATGCAGTATTCCTGCACTCTCTCCTTTAATAATAGTTTCTGTTAATAATCTAACCACCTATCCTGCACTGTAATTTCCCCTTGGCTCTCTAAAACTTTGCCCTCCTGCTATATTCAAGCCATTCTAGTGACAGGTGCAACATGTCTGTACTTCTATTTTCTGAACTGGACGAGCCATTCGAAGACTGACATTCCTGGGGCATCATATAGCCCTGCTCTTAGTGTGTCCCCACCTTACCACATAACAAGAACACACTCCCAAGCACCCATTTCTGAGCTCAGTGGCCTTTTACATAATCTAATCTTACCCCAAATGAAAAAGAAGTAGAGAGAAAAATATATATGGTGATGGTAGTTGGTGGGGCAGGGGTGAGAGGTACGAGGCAAGCTGGAACCAGAGGCCATCTTGTTCTCTGCCAATTTTCAGAAAACCAATTTAGAGATTCAGACCCACTTTTAAGTGAACCTAAGAAAAAAGTTTACAAACTAATAAAACAATCAAACTAGGTATGGATTATTAAAAATACAAAATATTTACAATTCAGAATATTATTCACTAGCATATTCCTGATAACTCTCATGTATTCAGATTATGCTTCAATATACAAAATAATAAGGGAAATGATATACTTCCAGAAACTTCTTAGGAACACATCTACTACATAAAATACATCTGCTTTCCTTTCTTGGTGTCTTGTATTTCATTACATGGCAGAGATTTCTGGTAGAGATTCCATTATCTATTCCACCCTTCTTTTTTAGTAATGTGGGCCTTGAGAATGCATAGAACCGCCAGGAAGAACTTGTAGTTAACTGGGCCCAAATTCATAATCAGAGTCTAGCAGCCATTGTTTACCGAGGCATCTCACACACACTGTATATTAAGGAACAGCCTGCAGACTGAGCTGTCAAGTCTCCTGCACTGTATTCCTGCCCGCTGAGCTGAATCTTATAAAGGAGTTACTGGAATCATATGTTGACCAATGGGCTGAGACCTGCCCTGTCTAATTGGAGCTGCACAGCTATATCCTCATTTGTATCTTTACTGACCAATCAGAGTAGCTCTGTAATAGCAATCCAGACTTGTGGTTCCGACCAATCAGGACAGTGCTATTTGCTATTTGGACCGATCAAACCATGTAAATTTGGATTTCTCATTTGCATAAAAATAGACCAATGAAGTACAAAGGTGTACACTTTATAGAAGTGGGCCTGCTCTTTGTCTCATTGGAGAGCTCTTTTGGTTTCCACCAGAGGATGCCTCTCCTTGGTTTGCAAACTGTTCGTCTGAATAAAATTTCTCCTCTTTCCACAACCGAGATTGGGGACTCCTGTTGTCATTAGATTGGTGGCAGCAACGTTTTGTTGACCATAATAATACCCAAATTTATTTGAAAAGATAAAAACATACCCTATAAAAAGACTACACTTATCAGCTATTTTGCAGTTAGGTGTGGGCCTGTGGTCTGACTAACTCTTGGCCAATGAGCTATAAGCAGAAATTTTGTGTGAGACTTCTAAGACGACTTCTGAAAAAAAAGAAGTAAACCCTTCTTTATACTTTCCTCATACTTGTTGCCTAGAATGTGGATGAATGGAATGGCTGGAGCTCAAGCAGCCATCTTGAGCATGAAGTAAAAGCCATTGCAGATGGCAGAGTAGAAAGCTCTCTGGTTACACCATTGAGCCACCATTCCAGCCCTAGAATGCCTACCTCTGGGCTTTTAGATGAGAGAGAAAACAAATTTTCTTTTGCTGAAAACACTTATTTTGTTGTGGTTTGTTTTTGTAATATGTAGCCAAATCTACACCTAACAAATACACTTTATTTTCAAATAAAAAATCTTTATATTTCTGTTCTAGTTGAAAGTAGCAAATACTAACAAAACTTACTTAGGCTTTTGTGTAGGAGCATTTTTTATTTTTTCTGGTTTACAGTGAATATTGCTTTTAAGAATTTAACTTTTTAATATCGAGTATTTACATTTTTCTCTAGAGCATTTGTTTTTCAAATTTTAATGATGTCTTCATAAACATTTCAAATTTACCTTTGAAAGCATTGCCTAAAGCTAACTAAGCTAATTAAATTTCTTTTTATTCCTTCCTTCTTACTAGGATAAAATAGTACTATTTGATCTGCTTCTAGGAACCATCTGCTTTATTTATGGGGCTCATTTGGTTACAGTGTCCTTAATTTTTCTCCTCCTCCCCAAATTCTTCATGATTATCAAAATCTTGAAGTCTATTCTGCCTTGAAAATAGAGACCACTGTATTCTAGTCTATACAAGCCTTCTATAAGCGATATACGTCAGTTCAGATTTTATGTGTTTACCTAGAAAACAAGTGAATGCCACAGTTATACATTTATATGGCTACTTTAAACATGAAATGACTTGTTCTCATCAACTCTACTTTGAGAGGAGGCCCAGAATCAGCTAAAATCCAAACAGCTGATCTGTCTATTCTTTTTCCCTGCCAGGGTCCCATTCTATCCAGGGATTTGTAGATAAATAAAATTCCAGACTGAAATGTAGACTTTGCCTACAACATCCTCTTGAAAACTCAATTTTCAAAAGGGAAGGCCTTACTTGTCTTTTTAAGAACCAAAATAAGAAATAAAATTAAAAGTCTGTGGAAATAAAACTTGAGTATTTGGATAAAGCAATACAAATATTGACTAAAATGCTGATTTTGTGATCAGCCACAGGGATAACTATAGATTTCAATTTGTGTGCAGATCTAAGGGATGTAGTGTGGCTGTTTTTCTTGAAAACTTTAAATAGATCACTTTTCCCTATTATTGAGCAAATTCTAGCTATTTATTGTAGAAGTATTTCTTGCATCAAGTAGCTTACATTTTATTTAACCACATTTGAGGATACTTCTCCCTTTTAATGGGGCTACTCAGCCAATTACTTTTCTCTTTATTTTTTAAATACATATAATAACTGGAACTTAAGGGGAGTTGGGGAATCCATTCTGCCTAAGAAGTTAGATTTTACTACTCTTATAAAAAAAAAATCCTTGATTCTTTTATTGCTTTAATTTGCTACTCTAGTACATTTTGAATTGTTTAAACACCAATAGCAAGTACATTTTATTTTCCCTGGGAAAATATTTTCAGTTCTGGAAAAAAGAAAAATAAAGATAAAATGCAACTATTTTCTTAGAAAAAAACTACAAAGTCAAGAAAGAGCAAAGTTAAAATGAAGATGTCGTCCATCCTCTTATAAAGGACTAAATTTAAATAAAAACATTAGAGAACATTTCCAAATGTTTTTTGTTGCATTTTTCAAGATCAGTGTAATATTCTGCAAAAGAATTATGTTTATAAATGTCAACCAGGCATTAGTATTTGTAATTATTTTTTAAAAAATCAAATGGTACTGTCTCTTATTAAGGACATGCTTATATCATGATGATGACAAAGCAAATAGAAAAATTTAATGTCTCAATAATACTTTTTACAGTCTGCCACTGGCCCTTTCAATGAGTTCCTAAGCCTTTATTGAAGAGATATAGACTAGAAAAACAAAGTTTAATTTTACATTCGAGAAAAAATTATAGGCTGGAGAGCTTCTTTTCCTCAATGGTTTCTCTCAACTGCTAAAGGTATTTTAATTTGGCACAGTAGAAGTATCACAGAGGTTGAGGGCTCTTTCTAGAGACAAACTGTAGAGTTTAAGATCATTGTGTTGTGTTAAAAACCTCTCAAGGTCCTGACTTTATAATGTAGCATTGATGGTAATTCCAGAATTCTCCATAGAGAGGATTAGAGAGTTCTCAGCAATCCAAGGATGAGTTCTCCTTGGAAAATAGCTTGAATTCTAAAGACTGAGCTCCCAGAGGGCAGAGGAGCTCACTGGTGGGCTGTCAGATTCCTTCCTTGAGGCCCAGACTCTCAGGCCCTAGAGTTAATCAGTATAGTTTAGTGTCGGCTAATGGTGGGAACTTAAAGTGAAAAATATAGTCAAATAAGAGCAGTTACCATTTCTGGATTCTCTGCAGCTAGCTTTATCATCTTTTCTGAGATCATCTTTTTCAAGCAGCTACTCAGCAAAAAAGCCTAAGAAATCCAGAAGAAAAGAAGTATTTCAGCTGAGGAGATCTTCATTCTCTTCCTTCCCTCCTATACCACAAATCAGATTTTGATCTCTGCCTCCAATAGTATGAATTTAGAGTTCTTTGATTTCCATAAATTTGCATAAGATATAATTATCGAATAATGATAAATTTGCTTAATCAGGTGGATCTATTTACAGTAAATTTTAAAAAGACAGCTGAGAAATGGCCAAGAGCTCATTACTAATCTTTTTGCCTCTTAAAACTTACCTTTCACATCCCATTTTTTTCTATTACTTTGTAAGCAGCTCATGTTTTACAAGCAACAAATAATAAAAAGTGCTTATTATTATAACCAAATAAGCTGATGTTGGTTAATCTGATAGTTAATTGTATGCATAATAACTGAGAAACCTATTTTTCTCTCTTGTTTTGCTCTCAGTTCTTGCCTTGCTCTCTTCTCTTTGGGCCCTACCAAGGTTTAAGACAACCGAAGCTCAAAGCTTGAGGCTGTATGACCTTAGTATAGCCTGAGATGGCGCTGGGGGGATAGAGGGAATGATGGAAAGGAGGAAAGAGAGCAAACACTCAGATTAGGGTGGTAGTTCATATAACTCTTGGAGGACAGTTCATAGAAATAATTAGAGGGAGAGTGGGCTACATAGAGGGAACATCTCAAAGTCTTGCAGGAATATAGAGCATGATAGAAATTCATTTTATTTTAAGAGGAGAGAAAGGTGGGAAGAGAGAAGAAAGGCACTGCCACTAATAAGGAAAAGAATAAAAAATGTGGGGTTTATATATGACAACAAATTTGACTTCTTGGTTTTGATGAGAACTAACCCTGTTGATCTGTGCATATATGTAACCTACACAAAACCAGAGTATAAAACAGTTAAACAATAACTCCTGAGCTGACGCAGCTAGGAAGGATATTTAATGGTGTCCCACAAGGTATGAACTGATTCCATATTATTACACAATGTACATAGATATGCAGGTTAGGACTCTGCTATAAACCAGGTAAAGTTTATTAAATATAAAGAGGCTGAGCCTTTGTTTAAAGGGTCTAGAAAAGATTTGAGCCCAAGCCCTCATTTGTATGTATTTGCAAGGCACATAAGCCACATTTCTGCCTTTTGCAGAAGTAGCCCCTGGGTACATATCAATAAACCCATACTCCAAAGGAAATAAAACCTTACTAGAAATCCTTTAAAAGAATGTTTACTATACCTCTCTATAGTGACTTAAATTCATTTGCTACAGACTAAAGACCATAATAAAATTTAACTATTGCACTTAGCATTCTGGGGGAGGGAGGGTGGTTTGATTACCAAAATCTCTGTCTCTCCAAGGGACTGCAAATCTTGTGTCAGGAAACATCCTACCACTTCCCTGAGGATGTTTCATATTGAAGGTGAACCTAAGGATCCATTTCTTTAACGTAGGATTTTGGCTTAGTATTTCATGTTTCTCAGAGGACTTTGATATCTCGTACCTCTGATCACACTGTACAGGAAGTAGAGAGTTGAATGGAAGTTTTGTTTACCTAAAATCAGAATGCTCCAAGGACCTTAGTGTGACTATCGGGGACTCAAGCTGAAAAGAATGTTGATGCAAGGATTACTTTGTTATTTTTGTTTCATTTTAGAACATTTGTAGTTTTGATTTCAATTTGAAATAGCTTTCTTTAGTTCAGTAAATAGTAGTTTTCAACTGAGGTTGGTATTTAGAAAATTTGATTTTTAAAAAACAATTTCTATTCCAATTTTAGTTATAAGCCCAATTTTGTTTGGGACAACACATGCCCAGCTCCAGGCAATGAATGACTCATGTTTACTCTGAGCTGATTATGAACTCTGTTCCCCTTTGCTAAATGTTTGATTCCCAGACTCTCTTGCAGCTAGGAGTGACCCACTTCTGGCCAATGAGACAAAAGGAAAATCTACTGGGGTCTTCTAGGGTAAAGTTTTTGTTTTCCAGATAAGGTATAGCTTTTCTGCTTGGAAAAGATCAAGAGAATGATAGGGATGTCAATCAACTACCTCCAGTGAATTCTTTACCACCTCTCCAGTGAGGTGATAAAAATCTGTATTGTCTGAGCAAACAAATTCAGCCTCCAACCTGTTTTTATAAATAAAGTTTTATTGGAACACAGCTATACCCACTTGTTTACATGTTGTCTGTGGCTGCTTTTGTGCTACAACAACAGAGCTGAGCAGTTGTAAAAGAGACCATAAAGACCTAAAATATTTACTCTCTGGCCCTTTGAGAAAAAGTTTACTGACTCATAGTTTATGCCACTGTTAGTTGAGTCTCCTGTTATTTGGTAACTAAATTTGTTTCTAATTGATATGAAGCCTGCAATGACTAGTAAAACAAAACAAAACAAAACAAACAGGTTATATTACAGGCCAAAAAGAGAGTGCATAGTGTATTCTAGTACTCTACTCCAGTTGGGTTAGGGTAAGGTGCTTTATCTACCCCAGCAAGCAAGGGAGCATTTCAGGACTGGTGGTTTTCATGCTCTGAGCTCACCTGTTTTGTGTAAATAACAAACCACTGCCAGCGACTTTCCGCACTATACTGAAATCTGAGCTCTAAGTTCTGGTTGAGAGTTCGCTGGGGCCCATCCATGTCCAACAGAGTCCCCTACAGAAGAAAATATATTATATTTGGTAATCAGTAGAAATTTAAGTGGCTACTATATACTTACAAAATATGAAAACAAGTGAGACTGTCCTTATTCCCAAGAAGCTATCAGGCTATGAGGAGCCATGAAAGTAAATCACCACAATTGGATATAATAAATGTTATCAGGGAAGTAAATACAGGTCTATGAAATAGGATGGACACTTTATACAGACTAGGAGGGCAAAGGCAATCTTCCTGGAGGTAGGAGATCTAGGCAGAAGTAAAAATTAAGTTTGCTGTTTGTGGGTTTTTGTTTTTGTTTTTTTTGTTGGTGGTGGTGGTGGGTGGGTTGTTCCTGGTAGACAAGTTGTTCCTAGTAGAAGAAATAAGTGTAAATGCACTGGGGCATGAGGGAGCCTGGCACATAGGAGACGTGCCAAGGGATCAAGTATGGCTGAAGCACAGGCTACGAGGCACATAGGTGGTGAGAAAAGACACTTAGGGAGGCAGGCTAGGGCCAGATCCTGAAAGCCTAGTAGAAAGCACCTGTGATTTTTGCTATATGGCATCTATCCCTCTTTCTCCTAACAATGGAGTCTCACATTCCCTTGGGAAAAACTTTTCTCTTCTACTGTGGCTATGCAGGTAGGACAATCAGGGATTGCTGCCCTCTGGAGAGTGGCACATGACCCAAGCTCAAGCCAATTGAAGAAACACTCTCTGTGCCCCTCATCTGATTCCACGGCATAGAGACCCAAGGAGCAGGTTCCTGATAAAGAATTCCTAGAGACCTTCAGCTTCTTTCCTTCTTGACTCCTAAGCCGCTGCTTCAGCCTTTAGTTTAAATCAGTAACCCTATGTCCCTCCAATAAATCCCCTTTTTACTAGAGCCACATATATTGCTTTCCATTGCTAGCCACCAAAGAGCCCTGTTACAGGTTTTATAAGCTAAGCTAAAACCTGGACTCTTATCTTGAGGGCAACAGGTATTTATTAAAAGATTTTAAAAACTGAGTAATAACACAATTAGATTTATATTTTAGAAATATTGGTCTCACAACATCAATGTAAAAAATGAACTGGGAAACACCTGTTTTCAGAACCAGATAATACAGGGCTATTAACTCAGGGAAAAGGAAAACAAATGAAGTGAACCCTACAGTTACCTTCCTTACTGCCTGGAGGAGTTTCCAGGAGGCGGCACCAGGAGAGGAAACCCCAGCAGAGCCCGAGGTCTTACTGAGTTGAGAAAAAAGAGAAAAAAGTTTGAAGAGGTCGAGGTTAGAATTTGTGGGACAGAAGACCAAAGACAAAGGCTTTATACAGAGAAAGAGTTCCAGAAAGCTCCTTTCAAATCTTTGGTTGAATAATCTGTGCATGTGTGAGGATGTGCAGATGTGCAGACACATCTGTGTATGTGAGGCTGGGGAAAGAATCACAGAAAAGCAGTAGGTTGAACAATTCCAGGAGCTTACAGATCAGGCTGGAAATCATTTGTGTTTCTATCAGAGTAGAGAGACTGTAATAAACAAGACATTAGAAGAATCCTAAGAATGGTAACCAAAGAGGAAAGAACTAAATTAACCCTCAAGACTGCTCTTGACCTGCCTTAAGAAAGCTTAAAAGTGAGCCTCAAAAAATAAAAAAATAAAAATATCAAACCAATCCCAAGTAACTTAATTGCATGCCAGGACAAAGTCTAATACTGTTTAAAAGAATACAATAAATTCCAGTATTCAACAACATAAAATTTACAATGTTTAGCATACCATAAAAACATTACCTGGTATGCAAAGTAGGAGAAAAGTATATTGGGCAAACAGAAGAAAAATCAATCAGACTCAGATGACAGATGATGGAATTAGTAGACAACAATATTAAAACAGTTATTTTAAAAATACACTCAAGAATTTAGAGAAAAACAGCATGATAAGAAGGGAAATGGAAGACACAAAAATAATCCAAATGGAACTCCTAGAGATGAAAAATATAATGATAGAAATAAAAATACATTGGATGGGAAAAAACATGTTAGACGCTACAGAAGAACAGACAACCTTAAAACCATAGCAACAGAAACTACTCAAAATGAAACACAGAGAGAAAAAAGACTGAACTAAAACCACAATGAGATACCACTTTACATATTTGGTTATATTTTAAAAAATCAGATAATAAAATACTGGCAAGAATGTGGAGAAATTGGAACTCTCTTACACTGCTGGTGGGGATGTAAATTGGAGCAGACACTTTGGATAACATCCTGGAATTTTGTCAAAAGGCTCACCATAGAGGTACCACTATGGTGGAGTTACCAGCAATTCCATTCCTAGGTATATACCCAAGAGAAATTAAAACATATGTCCACAGAAAAACTTGTACACAAATGCTCTTGGCAGCATAAGTCATAACAGCCAAAAGGTAGAAACAACCCAAATGTTCATCAATGGATGAACGGATAAACCAAATTTGGTATATTCTTACAATGGAATATTATTTGACCATAAAAAAGAATAAAGTACTGATACATGTTACTACAAGGATAAGCCTTGGAAACATCCTAAGTAAAAGAAGCCAGTCACAAAAGATCACATATAATTCCATTAATATGAAATGTTCAGAATAGGTAAATCCATAGAGACAGAAAGTAGATTAAAGTTCTCTTAGGGCTGGTGGGAATTGGGGAATAAGAAAGCAACATGTAAAGGGTATGGGGTTTCTTTTTGAGGTGATAAAAGTGTTCTTAAATTGATTGTGGTGATGGTTGCACAACTCTGTGATTATATTAAATGCCATTAAATGGTACACTTTATATAGGTGAATCATATGGTATGTGAACAATATCTTGATAAAACTGTTACAAAGAAAGAGAATGATTGGGTGGTATTGGAATGATAGAGATATAGATCAGTGAAACAGAATAAAGAACCTAGAAAGAGACCCACACAAATATGCCCAACTGGTTTTTGACAAAGGTACAAAAGCAATTCATTCGAGGAAAGAGCCTTTTCAACAAATGGTCCTGGAACATTTGGCCTTCCATAGGCAAAAAAGAAAAAGGAAATTCATCCAAAGTTTCACACCCTATACAAAAATTAACTCAAAATGGATAATAGACTTAAATGCATAACCTATAACTATAAAACTTTTAGAAAAAAACCCTAGGGAAAACGACTTTCATGGTCTAGGGTTTGACAAAGAGTTCTTACACTTGACACTAAGACACAATTTATAAAAGGAAAAACTGATGAATTGGACTTCACCAAAATTAAAAACTTTTGCTCCACAAAAGACCTGTTAAGAGGACAAAAATACTACAAAGTGAAAGTATTTGCAAACCACATATCCAGCAGAGGACTATTGTCTAGAATGTATTAAGTACTCTCATAACTGAACAGTAAACAATCAAATTAGAAAATGAGCAAAAGATATGAAAAGACATTTCACCAAAGACAATAAACATATGGTAAATAACCACATGAAGAGATGTTCAACATCATTAGCCATGAGGAAAATGCAAATTAAAATCACAGTGAAATACCATTACACTTATCAGAATGACTAAAATAAAAAGTAGTAACAATGCCAAATGCTGATGAGGATGCAGAGTCACTGGATTACACAAACATCGCTGGTGGGAATATAAATTGAAAACAATTTGGCAGTTTCTTAAAAGATGAAACATGCAACTTTTATATGTCTGGAAACAACCAGATATCTTTCATTGGGTGAATGGTTAAACAAATTTTGGCCATTCCATACCATGGAATACTGCTCAACAATAAAAAGAAACAAACTATTGATCACAAGAACCTAGATGAATTTCCAAAGAAATTCTGAGTAAAAGAAAAGCCAATCCCAGAGGCTACATACTATAGGATTCCATTTATGTAAAATTTTTTATTTTTTAAGGTAATCAATTTCTTGCTTTTATTTATATTTTTACTTTCTAAAAACAGTCAATTGTTCTAATACACAGTATTCATGTTCTATAAAGTCACCATAAACACTGAATTATTGAATACTGAATAATAGCCCAAGGGGAAATACATTTTGGGTCCTTCAAACTTCTGGTCACAACATTTTCATCTGACCAATCCATAATGTCATTTTATGTGTTTCTGTTTTATTTATAAAGTTTTATTGCAGTATAATTGATATACCAAAAAAAGGCACATGTTTAATGTATACAAATTTATGAGTTTAGATATACGAGTACACATCCATGAAACCATCACCACGATCAAGGTAATAAATGTATCTATCACCTCTAAAAGTTTCATATAATATTCCTGAAATGATACACTATGGAAATGACAGACAGATTAGCAGTTGCAAGGAGTTAAGGAGGAGTGGGGGTGGGAGAAAGTGGGTACAACTCTAAAAGGCCAACATGAGGGTGGTGCTGGAAATGTTCTGACTCTTGATTGCATCAATATCAAAATCCTGGATGGTGATATTGTACTATAGTTTTGCAAGATGTAATAATTGAGAAAAATGGGTAAAGAGTGCACAGGGTTTCTGTACTATTTCTTACAACTGTGCATAAATCTACAATTATATCAAAATTAAAAGCTTAACTAAAATAATTAACTATTTAAAGCAAAAATAATTATAATGCAGCATGAAGTTGCATTATAATGCATTTAATGCAAAAATAATTATAATGCAGAATGAAGCTGCATTATTATATTTCTGTATATATTTCTATATATACAGAAATAAAGTATGGCAAAAAATATAAAGAACAGAAGAGGAAAATAGAAATACACTGTTGTGATGTTTTTACACTTTTTGTGAAGTTGTATATTTGAAAGTAGACTCTAATAAGTTAAAAATGTGTATTAAAAACTCATAAGTAATCATAATAAAAAAGATATAGCTAATAAAAATCAATGGTGCCAATAAGCGGAATCAAAATAAGAAGGCAGGAAAAAAATGATAAAAAACACAAAAGAAATAGACAATGTAGGTATGATGCCAGCAGTCCTCAGGTATAGCTTGCTGGTTAGCAGCCAGTTTTCAAGGGCAGAGATCTCATCAGTACCAAGTACATATTAAGTGCTCTATACATGGTAGCTGTTATTTCTATATGCTGTTATTACTATAGGCACCCTTCAAGCAGCAGAGAAGTCTGTTGCTGGAAGGTGGGAAGAAGGGTGTCTCCACTGCAATGGGTGAGAAACTTGTACCAGACAATAGATAGGTTTTAGTGATGGGTGATGCTTATTGTGGCTTAGATGCTAGTTAATTCAAGATACTGATTTAAATGGCAGACCTGTCTTCCTAGTGTCAACTTTGTCACCTAAAAACAATAGGATTTTAAATCATGAATGGAGATGTTAAATCATGGGTAAGGCAGCGCCAAGATACTCACAAGGAAAGTGACCTGCCAGCACTTCACTCTGCTCATCTGGAAAATGATGTCCTGGGTCTGGTTATCAGGCAGGGTCATGCAGCAGCTGATCTCGTTATTGCCCACAGAAAGAGCAGCCCCACAGCCCGGTTCCGGGTAGTCACAGGTACAAGGATCCAGCTGCAGGTATCCATAGTGCCGCACCTCTTGGGACAGCTCCAAAAACTGCTCCAAGGGGGATGTGGGAGGTAGGAGGAAGCAAGAGACCACTTGAAACAGATGAAAACCTCATGTCAGAAGCTACTGCCATTCTAGTAGGACACATGGAATTGAGTCACAATGAAAGCATATTTTTCTTCTGGACAATATGAATGAAGAAAATACCTCCTGTGCTCTCTGACAATAAGACCTGGGGTAGTTTGTGGTGGGTTCTGACAGGGCATTTCTGCCTCATTCAGCATTGTGTCCCTGCTTTTGTTACAGTGCTTGGTACAGAGTAGCAATATTTGATGTGTGAATGATGAATGAAAAAAAAAAATAGAGTGAATCAAATGAATGAGCAGATGTGATTCCATCTTGGTAGATTATAACAACAAAAATAAATAAAAAGTGTACATTTAAAATGCTGTCTTTTAAAAAACTGAGCTGAGGTCTATGTAGGAGGAAAGTAGTTCATTTTTGCAGGCTGTTTTATGTGATGGTGGTATGAATTGTCAGAGGAAGAGATTTTAGAAATAGCCATGAAATGAGAACAAGAGTGAGTCTGCTTTCTAGGTAGAGTTCTAGATAGCCCCAAAGTGTCAAGGGAACACTTTTATGTGACATTTAAGCTTTAGCTTTTCTCTCTGCTTCTGACATGACTTAAGAACAGAGGACAGCTGCAGTTCACACCTGTGGTCAAGCATCCTATCCTGTTAACGTTAATTGAGGACTTTTTTTTTTTTTTAACAGTGATTATTAACGACTGTTTTTAAATAACCTGATATCAGCTTGGTGACCTTCACCTTTTCCTTCTAGCTTTCACCATGGTCCTGCCTGATAGTATCTGAGATGTGTGTGCACAGAGGGGAGTTCTCACTTTAACACAGTTAAATCAGAAAGACCAGCCAGCGACAGCCTGGCTCTTTACCCTTTCCTGAAGCAAGGTAACTTATGTCTCCCTTTCAAGCACTACATGAAGTGCTTGGTGATAAAAGTGCTAAGACACATGCAGTGAGGGACAGCTGACGATTGCTACAAGGAAAGAGAAGTACTCGAGGCTCCTGTCGCTCCCAGCCACATATTGTACCAGCTCGTGCTGCAGCCCAGGCATCCAACTTAAGAGATGCATTGAGCTGCTGGGCCTCCTTTTGGGTCAGAGATGACAGGTTGTGAGTCGATGTTAACTGTGCAGGGGTGGAGGCAGGGGCTGAGTAATCTTGCCACAGAGCATATAGTTTCATGCTCTTGCTACAAAAGTTTCATATTTACTTTATGGTATAAATCTTTGTCTGGTAACACTTTAAAAAACTATAATAAACTCTTGGCTGTAGTGCTCTAAAAGAGATGAAAGTATTTGTTTAATTAAATATTAAACTCCATTTCTCAAGAAAGTTGGTCATAAGAAAGTAACCTGTTCAAAATGCTTGCTGGCATTTGCCATTCAGCAAGGGGGTGCTGTAATATTACTGACTATATGAAAACCAAATGACTGAAATCTGCAAGGATTATCTACTTGAAAATTAGTTCTCTTAAGAAGACTGTACCTGGAAAAGATAATTTAACATGTATAACTGCAGAAGGTATGTTTATATATTTTTATTTAGATCAGGGGTTTCCAAGCATTTCTGCAGAGTCATATAGTAAATATTTTCCATTTTGTAGACATATTGTCTCTATCGCCCCTACTTATCTCTACTGCTCTAGCACAAAATCAGCCTTGGACAATACAAAAGTGAAGGAGCATAGCTGCATACCAATAAAATTTTATTTACAAAAATAGTGGCCCATGGGGCCATAGTTAGCCTATCTCTGATTTAGATTAAATTAATTTCACTCATTTTCAATTATGAGTTTTCTTGTACATGAACATAAATTAATTAATTAATTATGAGTTTTCTTGTACATGAACATAAAGTAAAGCAACAGTTGCTAATATGTTGGCTCCATTAACAGAAGAACTTCACAAACACTTAAATAATGTTGGTGTCATAGCAATATCCTTAGATGCTTTAAGAGAAAAATCACTTGTTTGTTTGAATAATGTTTCTATTTTTTTTCAGATGGTAAAATACTTACACAACCCCTGTCCCCAAGCAGGTATATGAGTCAGACAAACAAGACATATTTTAACAGGAAAAAACTGGCCTCTGCTTTATTGTGTGTGTGGTTTTTAAAAATTCTTTAGACTTGGCCAATGTTCACCACTAAAACATTGATTTTGAATGAAATGCAAAGAAAATTTAGAGGACAAAATTTAGAGGACAGATTCATGTATGCAAAGTAAAGTTTTTAAAAGACCACCATTAAAATAGTATCATAAGGACTCCTGGTAAAGATGGCAGAGCAGGTAAATGCTGTGTTTTCCTCCTCACATGACCACATCAAAATTACAACTAAACTATAGAACAACCATCATTAAGAACCGCCCAAAGATCAGCTAAACAGAAGTCCTACAACTAAGGACATACATAAGAAGCCACATCGAGACTGGTAGAAAAGTGGAGATGAGGAATGGGCAGGCCCCACATCAGACAAAATAGGCTTTGAAAGAAAGGCTATAACAAGAGACAAAGAAGAGACAATTTAAGATTGAAAGACAAAATGTCAATTTATCAATTCCACTTCCGAGTATTTATCTGAAGAAATCCAAAACGCTAATTCGAAAAGACATATGCACCCCTATGTTCATTGCAGAATTATTTATAATAGCCAAGATATGGAAGCAACCTAAGTCCTAAGTGTTCATTAATAGAAGAATGGATAAAGAAGTGGTACATATATACAATGGACTATTACTAAACCATGAAAAAGGATGAAATCTTGTCATTTGCGACAATATGGATGGACCTAGAGAGTATCATGCTAATAAGTCAGAAAGAGAAAGACAAATTACAAATAATTTCACTAATATGTGAAATCTAAAAATCAAAATAAATGAACAAACAAAACAGAAATAAACTCATAGATACAGAAAACATTTTGACGGTTGCCAGGTGGAAGGTGGTGGGGGATGGGTGAAAAAAATGAAGGGATTAAGGTGTACAAATTGACAGTTACAAAACAATCATGGGGATGTGATAGACAGCATAGGGGATATAGTCAATAATATTGTAATAACTATGTATGGTGTCAAATAGGTACTAGATTTATCGAAGTGATCACTTTGTAAGTTATATAAATGTTTAATTGCTGTTGACACCTGAAACTAATATAATATTGTATGTCAACTATAATTGAAAAATAAAATTTTTTAAACTTAAAAAACTTAAATTAAAAAAATTTTAAACTTAAATTTAAAAAATAGTATTGTAAAATTAGATGAAATACTCATCACAGAAAATAAAATTTGTTTTGTGGCAAAAGTACAGATACGAATTTTGGTATAGTATAGCAACATGGTAAAAATATTTTTACCAAATGAAGAAGCTACAGGGAAGAAATGTTCTTAGAATTGGTAATTGCATCCAAAGTAGCAGCAATATTTTACCCATCGAAATAGAAACTATAATTGTAAAAGTTTACAAATACACAGAGAAATTGAATCCTAAAAATTCTGTTGTGGAATACCAAGCGGGAGAAATACTAAATCGTGGCAGCATATGCTTTTTCTTTTTTTCCCCCCAGCTCAGCGGTAAAATTCTCAAAATATCACAGAGTTTGAAAAATTATTCTATATTAACCCAAGTATAAATGAGTCCTCTAAATTTTGTTTGCATTTTGGTCAACATCAATGCTGTAGTTGTGAACGATGGCAAAGTTTAAAGAATGGAAACGACAACGCAGTGGAGTAGCGGCCATTTCTTCTCTTAAGATATGTCTTGTTTGTCAGACTTGTATGTACTGCTTGGGGGCAGGGAGTGTGAGTTGGTACCATCTTTACGGAAGTTTTAAAAAATGGACGTTTAGAAATATATTCTCAAGCATAACAGAACATGTACTCAAACACAGAGGATGTGGCTGCAGTGCTCAGGGACCTTCGGCCAGGAACCATACTAGGTGTTGGGAATACACAGTGTATGTATAAGTTAGACACAGTCCTGGGCCTCATGATGCTCGCTGCCAAAGTGATTTATAGCACCAAAAGCTGCAAACAATCTGACTTTCAATAATAGAAAATTGGTTAGCTAAAGGCTAATAAACCATAAAATGGAGTACTCTGTGGTCATTAAAAATGTTCATTTATACTAATTAACTTGATAAAGGACTCCCAATATAGTGTCTGTATTATTTAGAATCTTTAAACAAAAAGCCTTTATTAATTTTATAATCAGAAAAATCAATGAAAGTATTTTCATTTTTTGAGTCCCATTTTTAGTGCTTGATGGGTTTATAAATTACAGAAACAGCTCAATTCCAATATGTTTCTTTAACTCCCTTCTAGGGGATTTCTTTTGGTGCAATATTTGATTCACCTTTGTTTGGTTGTCTTCTTTCTGGAGAGCCTCTAATTTCTGCCTCTGCACCTGTGTGGGTTTGGCCCATTCTTTTTCAATGTCTTGTATTGCCTTAAAACAACATAAAATTAGCAAACTTCACAGAAATGAATTACTTTGACAAAAAACATATTTGTGTATGAAAGGCTGTAAAAACAGACCCAAGTGGACATATATAAGAACCTAGCATGTTATAAAAGTTACTTTTGAATTAGTGAGTGTAGAAAGAGATTGTTCAGTGTTTTGGGGACAACTGGTAGCACTTGGCAAAAATAAATAAATAAATAAAGTTCATTTTCCTCACCAACCACCAAATAAAATAAATCCAGATACATTAAAAATCTAAGTATTAAAAATATATAAAAGGACTGGAAGAAAATAAAAGTGAATATCTTTATCTGATCTTAAGGTTAGGAATATCTTTTTAAGATTGAAAGACAAAATGTCATAATGAAGGAATATATAATACATAGAAATATAACCCTTCTGCACATAAAAACTACCAAGAACAAAACTAAGAAGTAAATGGCAAACCAGGGAAAATGATTACATCATATGTGGCAAAGAGTTAATATTATTTATAGAAAGCAACTGGAAAAATGTTAACCTCCCTAATAGAAGAATGGACAGAGGATATGTATTGGCAATTGATAAAAAGGAATTCTGAATGACAAATATATATTTAACTTCACTAGTAAATCAAATAATTTTTTTCCTCTCAACTTAGCAAAGCCTAAAATTATATATAATACTTAGGGTTGAAAGGGTTTGGGAAACAAGAAGTTTCATATAGAATTGGTATAATTTAAATTGGTACAATGAGCCTGTCCTGCTTTTATTTATCACGCTTTAAAAGAGTTTTAGCCCCTTAAGGGAAGATCCTGTGTCCTTTGCTTCATTGTAGCTTGTCCAGTGTTGTACATACAGCAAACACACAATTATTCTCTGCCAATTATCAGGTGCTTACTTACACCTTAGTATAAACATAAATCTGTGTTTTTCATCCCTCAGTGGTATTGGCAGGTTTTGTCTTATCTCTAAAGAGGAGAATGAAAAGCTGAATAAATTTCAACATTGCTATTTAGGTTGAGAGCAAGAGATGAGTTCAGCAAGAAGAAAAATCACTAAGATTTACTGATAACCTGTTTTAGGTAGGTTTTATCAATTACTATTCTGTAAGGTAGGAAAATTACCCCATTTTATAGATGGGTAAATGGAAGTCCAGAGAGGTTCTGACTTTCAAGATGACCCAGAAAATAAGTGGAAAAAGTTGGCTTAAAACCCAGATCTGATCACTACACCAGGCCCTCCCCGCCCTGCCCAAGCCACTGAATTCTTACCACACAGGCAGTTACCCATCCCAAGACTGTCTCCTTGTTAAAAACTGTTCTCAAAACTGAATCTTGGTACCGAACCAAAATGGAACCAGCATGGGTGTGAAGAACTAAACACCTTTTTCTTTCCTGATTTCTACCTGCTGTTAGAGTCCTGTAATTATTGTGAGCACAGGGCAACAATGTCAGAGAGAAAACCTGCCTAAAGAGAGAAAGTAAACAGCAATCATGGCAGTAAGTACGAACTGAAGACATATCAGTCATCATTAGGGCACCTGGGACCCTCAAACACAGAGATTTAAATATCCTACAGGACGAGTAACGTAACTTTTTGTTTCACTGCCTTTGAAAATATTTGACCCTGATTATCACAAGTCAAGTCATCACTCAAATACATTATATACAGTACCTCACTCTAGATGATGAGACAAATGTTTCTACTTAGTTATGTGGTTCCCCAAAGACCGGCTGATGGAGACTTATACAGAAATGAATGTTTTAAACCATGTGAAATCACACAAGTCGTGGTTTTCATGAGCTTCAATCACACATACTCTAGTGCCCTCTGCAGAGGGTACAGTAGTGAGAAATGAAGAACACATGCCTCTTTAAACAAGGCTCAGCAGCTTGGCTCCAGCTATTCGAGGTGTGGCCAAGCAAGGCCAGAGATGTGCGAGCAAACTGGTGAGCCCTGTACAAGAGTTCTGGGCCATGCGGGCATTAGGAGGCTAATGGTCAGCCCCCAGTTCCCTCACCAAGCCACGGGCCCTTCCTGGATGAAGGCGCAACTTTTTCTAATTTGCACAGTTACCAGATGGGCCTGTGTTGGCCCTGCTCTAATGTAGGCCCAGAATTGACCATGCCTTCAATATTTAAGAAACCCAGAAATGTATAATTTTATATGCAATCTTCTATTTTGTTAACATCGGTACATTTTTTAAAAACGAAAAAGAATTGTCGGAGTCCACTTGATCCTGGGACATCACTGGGTACATCTGCTTTAGAAAAATCAAGAGTATGCCTTAATAGTTAATTATGATAGTGCCATTATTTATCAAAAGACTGCACAAGAACTTAGCTTTAAGTTTTTAAAATGGTAATTGCTCTTCACTCATTCATATATCCCAGGCACCTAGGACACAGCCTCTGCCCTTGGCCAGAGTCTAGTTAGGGAGATACATACACGCACCAATATTTACAACACTGGGTGAGAAGAATCATAATAGAGAGTTTAAACAAACAAACAAAAACCATGAGAGCAGAGAGTAGGGAGGCATTTTCTTCTGAGAGGAGCCCAAGAAGGCTTCCCAAAGGAGGCAGTCATTACAGGCCTCTCCTTCCTGTTGACCTTGGGCCTCTTTAGATTTCTCAGGACCTCCACTCAGATTCAGGGAATAATGATGGTGGCAATGATAATGGCACAGGTTATTAAGACATAAATTCCAATTTTTGGAAGACTTTGCCAGGCAAAGGCTAAGGTTTGAATAACAGTCTATTTAAGCTAGGAGAAAACTTAGAGACTGTTAGTTCAACCTCACTGCTTAACAGAGGACATTGTAGTTCCAATTCCAGAAGGAAGAAGTGTCTTGTCCAAGGTCACAGACAGAGGGAGGGCTAGCGGCAGAGCAAGGGACAGAATACATCTTTGAAACTGCAATTCACTATGCTTTCCACGAACTGCTTATTTTTTCAGCTGTAAGTAGAGGAAATACCATCCATTTCTCTCTGGTATGCAATTCCTTAGTGAAGACAGATAAAAATCATATTATGATGCTAGCAGTCCCTTACCTCTCATCACAATGAACCCCTGGAAACCATGCCACAAAGACCCTATTTCCCACAGGAACAATATTAGAGTTAGGTAATGCATTCTCAACCAAGGATGTAATAGCAAATAAAGCAGGTACAAATAGTAATGTATCATAATAGTGAGGATACAATGGTGATGAGCCTCAGTAAACATTTAAAATGGCAAATTACCTGCCAACTCATATAACATGAGTATAAGTCCACTAAACATGATTATACATGGATCAAAGTATGATATGAAATGAACTTGAAACTATATTCTAGCTATAAAAATAGAGAACATTAAACATTTATCGAGTGATATTTTGATTTGCCTCCTTTGAATTTAGAAGAGACTTGTAGAAATGATTTATTAGATGGTCTAGATCTCTTAAAACATTACCTGAGGAGGAATGGATATGAAGGTTGTGATTCCTTATTTGACATTCTAGTTGCTGGGATCTGCTGTGTCTGCTCAGGCATGTACCCAAGTTCTCAGCCCTGTGCCGAAAAAGCCAAGGTCCCAGCACGAGGCTGGTGGTCTAGTGGGGAGATGTATGCATATCTGATGCTCTATTTTGTCAAACTGGAGATGCCTTTGATTCTGAGATACCATGATTTTGTGTGACACTAGGTAAAAACACTCTCAATTAAAATATGACACAGTGCCTCTCGATAGTCCTGTATGGTGCATCAACCAGTCACGCCAGCCTTTTCTGGCTGGTAACTACCTCTATTTCTTGAGGCATTTGGTGATTTCTCCCGCCTTCAGCTGCACTGCTCGGCCTATGCTAGGCAGTCCATTTGTGTATATTAGTATGAAACAGAGTGGTTTCCTCTCTCTGGGCACATAAAGAACCTGGTCGTTGTTTTTTAAGAAAATATGGAACTGTGGTCATTTCACAAATGTAAAAGGTACCAACTGCCTTGCAGAGCTGTTATGAAGCTTACATGAAACAATACATTTAAAACAATTAATACAATGTCAAGCCCACGACAGGGCTTAATGTCGATGTTGTGCCAGCAATAGTTAGTTTCTGGGGATACAGCAGTGAACAAATACCTGCTTTTTTGGAGAAATCATTCCACTAGGAAGAGAGACAGCAAACAAATTTTTTAAAACTACATATATAAACACATATATAAATACATATATGTGTGTGTCAAGATTTGGGGTTTAGTCTGAGTGAGATGGAAAGACTTGAGAGAGTTTGAACAGGACAAAAATCTGACCTGCCACTCTGCCTGCTGTGTGAGAACAGATCGTGGGCTATGCCTGTGAATTCTTCTAAAAAAAGTTTCCACGCCTCCCTCCCAGAACTGTCAAGCCAGGGCTCAGAAAGGACGAGGCCTCCGACAGTGCTGACTTGGTGAGGGTGAACACTGAAGGGGAGCTGCCGAAGCAGGAAGGAGAACTGAGAGGGGGTGACGGGACATGTATCTGGGAGGCGGCATGCTGACCCTTCCACTACTTAGCAGAACCTTCATGTGAGTTGGGGAAAGAAGGAGAGGCAAAATTCTAAATTTACTTTTTGGCGAGTTGTCGGGTAGGGGGAGACAGGACTGACTACATAGTCTGCAGGGCCTAACGCAAAATAAAAATGCGAGGTCCCTTGTTCAAAAAGTATTCAGAATTTAAAGATATGACAGTGAAGCATTAAACAAGTGTGGGGTTCTTCTGAGCACATAGCCCACTGCAGCTTCACAGGCTACT